TTTCTGCATAGATTACATCATGTTAACCACCAAAATACTAATTACAACCCATCACCACACATATGTACCGAATTATCCCTTTCACCCTCCTCCCTCCCCCCTTCCCCTCTGGTGGTCCTTCATTTTAAAACAGCAAGAAATTAAAGGAAGTTAGCCATGGTTCTAGTGTTATCCTTAATGGCTCCTTCAGATTGCCTGTAATAGACCGAGAAACGGGGGTTACTGTAATTGCCGGCAGCGTCTATGGTGAAGATGCCTGGGGAAATAAGGAAGATGGTACAGTCTTGATTGCGCAGAGCCTGAGCTCAGGGAGGATTGGAATGTTGGTCAGTATACAATGCAGTAACTGGTTCTCTTGGCCCATCCATTTTCCCTACCCCAGCAACCACAGTGCCTCTATGACTTTGTCCTGCCACTCCACCGCCCCCACATTTCCTGCATTCCTCCCACACAGGGCTCTTTGCTGTTTCTTGACAGCAAAGGGCCTTTGCACTTGCTTCCTCTGTCTGAAATACTTTGCTCCTAGATATCTACACGGACTACCTTCTGCTCAAATGTCACCTTATCAGGAAGGCCTTTCCTAACATTCTATTTAAAATAAGCGTTCTCTTTCTCACTCTATCCTTTTAAAGCTGCTTTCATTTTCTTCATAGCACTAATCACCTCCTGACATCTATTTATCCATTTATTTCTTTATACGGTTTCCCTTCACTAAGAGAACAGGACTTTTTACTTGTTTTGTTCCCTGAGGTTCCTTTGGGCCTACAGCAATACAGGTACATAATAGCTCAAAAAATATTAGGTTACATGAATGAATAACACTTTATCACAGCGGCTGCTGCCTATCCATGGCCACTGGTGAGCTTGCCTGAGAAGCGAAGGCAGTGCCATATGCATCTGATATCTCCTGTGTTTACTTAGCACAGTGCCCGAGCTACCATGCTGGTGCAGTCAATGTTCATTGAATGAATAAAAAGGCAAAATACTAAGAATAATAAAGCAGATGAGTAAGAAAGAGGAACAAGGGAAAAAAAGAAAATCACCCTAGAGTTTGATATGAGGCAAAGCCATAGTCTTGTTTTTAAAATATTATGTAGATTGTTATTGAAATAAAGTATATATTCCATTGCCTATTGGTTTCATGGCAGGAAAGGTTATGTAGAGCTTAGACATCCTTCAAGGTATAAGCATCGTGTGTAGTCAGCTTCTTATTGATTAACTAATGATAGAATTGATTAGCTAATGATAGAAATAGCAGCTAGGAGGATGAACTTTTATGTTAGTTTTAAAGAACCATGCAAGGTTCTGTCATTTAAAAAAACTGCCAAGGTCCGTTGCCTTTGCAATATTTAAGATGTATCCAGAATTCAGCAAGTGTAAAAAGCTCACCCTTTCTCCTCACCCTTTCTCCTCACTGTTTTCACCTACTCTCATCTTTCTGTTCTTGTTTTGTGTCTTACTTCCCCTTTACTAAGAAGCTTTTATTAGTAGTCTTAGACGAAAATTTGCATTAAATTTGTCATACTATATTGATATGGTTCCAGAATTTTCTTAGCTCAGGATCTCCCCCATCCACTAAAAAAAGTGAACTAAAGGAAAATCACAAGTGCGTCATTGTGCAAGAATACTGTGAAACCATTCGTGTAATAAAGTTTATGTTAGAATTTCGCTCACTTTAAATCCTGGCCATCTTCTCGGAATGAGTCTGTCATTTATTAGGGAGTGCCTCTGAAATCAGCCAAACATTATTTCAGTATGTAAGGAAACCTTTACCGTTGTGTGTGCCAGGCACTGTGCGAGGGTTGGAGATTTAACTGTGAATACTCTAATCAGAGTTCTTGTCTAAACAGTCCAGAGGGATTGGCAATGTTTTTTAATAGGCCAGGTAATAAATATTTTAGGCTTAAGGGCCGTCAGGTTTATGTCACAATTAGTGGATTATGCCATCATTGAAGGTAAAAAGAATGCTGTGACTGTGTTCCAATAAAACTTTTTTTTACAAAATAGGCCAGAAATCTACAAAATTGGCCTGCGGGGGAAATTTGCCCAACATCCTGCCTAGTCTAGAGGATAAAGGGAGAGAAATGGGATTCAAGGATCAAAACAATTTAGCTGGAATGTATCCCTTTAAATAAATTTATTTTCTTGCTCTTAGGATAGGATTTTAAGTTAAGTTACTTACTTGGATTAAATAGCGGCAGAGGAAAGTCAATTTTTTTTTCCAAATTTGTCATTTTATTGGCACATTCCAAAGTAGCATTAGTAGACTAGCCTGAAAATTACAGTAATATGTCGTTTCAATGCCCTATGCTTCATTGTAATGTGAGCTTTCTGGTTGTTTTAGAATACATTTTCAGCCTGAATATTATTCTAAAAATAAAACTGGGGCCGGCCCTGTGGCTTAGCGGTTAAGTGCGTGCTCTCTGATGCTGGCGGCCCGGTTTCGGATCCCGGGCGCACACCGACGCACCGCTTCTCCGGCCACGCTGAGGTCGCGTCCCACATACGGCAACTAGAAAGCTGTGCAACTATGACATACAACTATCTAATGGGGCTTTGGGGCGAAAATAAATAAATAAATCTTTAAAAAAAAAAATAAAAAAAAAATAAATAAATAAAACTGATTGTCATTCATAAGTTATCAGATGGCTAAGGCAGCTGTGAGGCAGTGAGCTAATCAGAAGTAATTAGATCATTTTAAAAATGGTAAGAGCTGATGATGTAAAGTGAAGTTCTGTGTTTGATTTTGGAGAGAAATGAGTACTTTCCGGTGTTAAACGAAGCAGAGTTGGGCATTCCTTACAACCTGTTAACAGACTCAACCTGACCCTGGTTAGTAGCATTTTTTAACTGGTCATAAAGCTCCTTCCCCTGGGGTTTTTGTCAGCCTTCTAGGGCTATTGTAAAGTCAGTGATGGTGTTGTCTGTGGTTCGTATGCCTGTGTATTTGGTCATTGGAAATGGGCAAGCTGGCTCTGTGGAGGGCTGGTGAGATGCTGAAGTGTCAAGTTGTTTCCCTTTTTTTTTTTTTTTTTTTGTGAGGAGATCAGCCCTGTGCTAACATCTGCCAATCCTCCTCTTTGTTTGCTGAGGAAGACTGGCCCTGGGCTTACATCCGTGCCCATGTTCCTCCACTTTATATGGGACGCCGCCACAGCATGGCTTGCCAAGCAGTACGTCGGTGCGCGCCAGGGATCCGAACCTGCGAACCCTGGGCTGCCGTAGCGGAGCGAGCGCACTTAACCACTTGCGCCACCGGGCCGGCTCTCAAGTTGTTTCCTATTACTGTTATTTGTCTTTCTTTGAATAAGGGGTCCTTTGTTCTCTGTTTCCTCCCCACAGAACAGAGGATAGATATCATAGTGTTCATTCTTGACTTCTCCGTTTTCAAAGAGGAAAACATTTGCTTCTCTCTGCTCATTTCTTCCCCACTGCACCCAGGGGGGTTTTGAAGGCTTATGCCAAGAATTCTTTGGGGGAGTTGAGTATAACCATCACCAAGAGGTTCAGTTCTTAATGACATTTGTCTTAGTTTAGCAAGTCATTGTGAGTGTCGCTGTTTTTGTTATAGAAGACACCTCTTTCTTCTTTCCCGAATGCTCGACTTGAGTCCTGTGATGGTAACGAAGAAGGGATGTGGTTTCCTTTTTGTATCATTTTACCCCATCTGCTATTTTTGTCTTTGTTTCTAAATATCACTGAATTTTCTTTCTGCTATTTATTAGGAAGTGTACATTGCAGAGATTTCTAACAATAGGCCCAATTCTGAATGCAGGTATAATTTGTTTGCTTCACATAGTGTTGTTAAATTTCGGAGGTAGTTGCCAACATTTAAAAGTTTAGGTGGGGGTGAGGTGTGGGGGAAATGAGTGAGGGTGGTCAGAAGGTACAAACTTCCAGTTATAAAATAAGTTCTTATTTTTTGGCCAGCGACTTAAATTTTATCTTTTTACCCTCTATATCATGTAGCCAGTGGATGTTCAGTGACTTTTCTTTAATGGTGCTGATTTTTCTTCCCCAGGCCAAAGATCTAATAATCACACCAGCCACCATTTTAAAGGAAAAGCCAGACCCAAATACTCTGGTTTTTGGAACTGTTTTCACGGATCACATGTTGACAGTGGAGTGGTCCTCAGAGTTTGGATGGGAGAAACCACATATCAAGCCTCTTCAAAACCTGTCAATGCATCCTGGCTCGTCAGCTTTCCACTATGCAGTGGAAGTAAGTACATGGGAATTAATGATGGTGATGTGCTTGGTCTTCACTGTGGGTGCTGAGAAGCTTCCCCTGCTCAAACAGGTTTTAGGTCGTGTGGGCTTTATCATGTTTACTCAAGGAAGTCATAAATGTCTTTGAAACTTTTCCTGTAGACCATTGGATTAGGGACTAATTTTTCAGATAATCTTGAATTTTCTATAATGTCAGTAAAAAAGTCATTTAGAGTAAATAGGAAGGACAGTTGGCAAGAAAATTAGCAATCAAAAGGCCAGCACTGTTAATATTTTACTAAGTCACCTCTCAGATCTTCTAATTATTGAGACGGGGTCATTGAGTACAATATTATGTTTAGATTTTCATGCTAAGTGCATGTTTTTGTGACCAGCAATAACGTGTAGTTATACATGTTAAGAGACATGTAATTAAATGTCATCCTTCAGGTATGAGTGGAATAATTATAGGGATAAAATACTAAATATTCAGAGAATGCCTTCTCTGGTCTTTCTCAGGGTACACACTTAGGCAGATACGCAATACACTCCCCATTCCCTTGACCCCCATTTTATTTACTCATTGTTAATTTGTTGGACATCTTTCCCAGAATATTGGGGTGCTGGAAGTAAGCAGTGGCCAGCTATTAAGGGACTAAAAGATGATAATACTAAATATTCTTAACGCTAGTGATAAAATAACTACTTTTGTTTGTTGAATTCCTGCAGTGTGCCCTGTGTACCAGATACCTTATATAGGTCATCTCATTTAATTATTTTAAGTGAGAATGCATAAGATTAACCATTTAGGTTCTGGAGTCAGACTCCCTGGGCTCAAATTCTGTCTCTTGCTCCACAGGGAGCTCTGTAACTTGGGAAATTTATTTAATCACTTCGTGCTTCAATTTCTTTACCTGTAAAATTGAGGTAGTGATAATACCTACCTCATATTGTTAGTATAAGGATAAAATAAGGTAATTCATTTAAGCATATAGAGCCCTCCCTGCTACATAACGAGAGCCCAGTTGTTAGCTGTTATTAACCGCTGAATCAGTATTATTAGAAGCAAGCTGCTTAGAAGCAGTTTCAGAAAATTTAAGTTTCTTGGCCAAGATTACACAGCATTAAGAGAGGAGTCAGGGTTCAAATGCCAAGCTCCTACTCCCTGTGACGTTACCCCCAAACATATACACTAAAATTATGAAGGAGCTTGTCTAATTAACTTGTTCAAAGTTATAAATTTGAATAATTTGGAAACATTCACTGCCCAAATGTATCCACCAGAAGTTGAACTTAGGAGGCTAGGTTTCCATTCTCAGCTCTGTGTCTTAACTGTACCGATTTGGATGAGTTCTATCATTATTCACTCTAAGCCTCAGTTCAATTATAAAATAAGAATGGTAGCTGCCCTTGTCTGTATCATAGGATATAATGAAGAGCAAATGAAATAAAGAAAGCACTTATAAATTTGAAAGAAGGAATATGACAAAGCCTGGGGCAGTGGTTCTCAAGCTTAGCATCCATCAGAATCGCCTGGCTCCACCCTCAGAGTGGCTAACAAGTTCCCAGATCATGTTAATACTGCTGCTCCAGGGACTACATTTTGAGAACTACTGGCCTATGGGAAGTAAATGAGAAAGGATTAATGTCATTTTTGAAAGTTAAAAAAGATTTTGATAGCCATTTGTTTTTGAAAACTCATTGGAAATCTATTTAGATGAGTTGGAATGCTAGTTTGATTAATTTTGCCAATTTAGATTTTTATGATCAGAGTAGTTTAAAAAATCTGAAATTACTGTTCTTTGTTAAATAGAAACTAAAATTTTCTCTATATTATTAGTGTTCCACTTGCAATATGAATACAAAAAATGTTTTGCATTAAGAACTGAGTTGTGTATTGCATCAGATATCTATTGCAATGTAACAAAATTGATGGCTTAAAACACCAGCGATCATTTTCTTGTTATCTTTCGTGATTCTGGGGGTTGAGTAGGATGGCTAAGTGGCTCTTGCTTGAGGTCTCTCATGTGGTTGCTGTCAGATAGTGGCTGGGGTTGGAGTCAGCTCAAAGGCTTCCTGATGTGTCTGGGTGGGTAAACTCAGAGAGTTGGGGGCTGCAAAGCTGGGGCTTTTCTGACATCACTCTTTCTCTATGTGGTCTCTCAAGCATGGAGGCTTCAGGGTTGTCAGACTTTGTACACAGTGACTCAGGCTCCAAAGCTGTGTGTCTCAAGAGACTGGGCCCAGATAGAAGCTCTGTTGTTTTTTATGCCCTAACCTCAGAATCACACAGCATTACTTCTGTCATACTCTATTGTCCTGGTGGTCACAAAGGCCTGCCCAAGTTCAAAAGGAGGGACTGTACACCCCATCTCTTGATGAGGAATGTCAAGGTTCTAGAAGAGTACGTGGGACTGGAAATATTCTGTGGCCATTTTTGGAAAATACAATCTGACATCTATCAGTGATAAACAGGAGATAGAGTGATGCATTTGGTTTGCTCTTTGTCAGATTGGACTCTTAGGTTTAATAAGTCAGATATTAGGGCAGTATCATAGGAATTTAGGAAGTGTGATTGCCTTGTGCAGAGAACTCAGGGTCCTGGAATTTTCTTAGGCTTATTTATTCCATTTTCTACTCACTCGTTCAATGGGTGTTGAGTGCCTACTGTATGTCCAGAACTGTGCAAAGTGCAGGGGATAGGATGGTAAGCAAATTAGCCATGATCTTGCCCTCAAGAATTCTTTCTTTTCTTTTTTTTTTTTTTAACTCCCACTAAGAAAGTTAAGCAGATACTTTATTTCAAAGGTTTTCTTCCCAAATGTTGCATTTGAAACATTCATGTTTCAGGCTTTCCCATAGATATGACTGTTTCTCTTATACTGACACACTTATGAATTTGAATTATTGGATGCCATCTTGATTTCTTTCTTTCTTTTTTTTTTTTTTTTTTTTTGTGAGGAGGACTAACCCTGAGCTAACATCTGATGCCAATCCTCCCCTTTTTTCTTGAGGAAGATGGGTCCTGAGCTAACAACCGTGGCCATCTTCCTCCGCTTTATATGGGACGCCGCCACAGCATGGCTTAACAAGCAATACGTCGGTGCACGCCGGGGATCCGAACCTGCGAACCCCAGGCCGCCGCAGCAGAGTGCACGCACTTAACAGCTTGTGCCACCAGGCCGGCCCCATCTTTTTTTTTTTTTTTTTTTGCTGAGGAAGATTCGCCCTGAGCTAACATCTGGTGCCAATCTTTCTCTTTTTGTATGTGAGCTGCCACCACAGCATGGCCACTGAGAGATGAGTGCTGTAGGTCCACGCCTGGGAACTGAACCCGGGTAACCGAAGCGGAGCGTGCTGAACTTAACCACTAGGCCACCGTGGCTAGCCCTCCAACTTGATTTTTAAGTTCAATAATAGTTGTATTTTTTTAATCTGAAAGTAGATATATGAGTAATCTCCTTGGACATCTTTCTCCTCCACTCGGCAGCCCTATTGATCGTAGAATCCATTTTATTTTGACATCTACAACTACATGTGGTTTCGTTAATTCCTAAAGTATTTTTTAATAGATAAATATGTGAAGGTTTCATATAGTGAAGGAGAGAAATGTGAACTGTGAGTAGGGAACATGGGTGAAAGAAAATGAAACTTGATAATAGGCATTTTATTTTCAGGTTGAAATAAATATTTAGTGAAATAAAACATAATTTGAAAAAATAGAAACATATATGTACTATTTAATGAATACTTATAAATGAATACTCATATAGCTACCATCTAGGTAAAGAAATAGACCACTTGAGCATCCCCGAAACCTTCATGTGTACCTTCCGTGTCATAAATCCTGTATCTTCTGGCATTCGTTATTCTTACTTTTGTGATAACCTTTCTTTGCTTTTCTTTCTGGCTTATATGTATCTCTAACACCATAGTTTTGCCTCTTTTTGAACTTTGTGTAAATGGAATTATTATATGGTGTGTGTGCGCCTAATTTTTGAACTTAATGTTATGTAAGATCTATCCATCTGGGACCAACCCTAACATGTGTGGGGCCTCGGAGAAAAGTGCAAACAGAGAGACCCCATGGTTCGTCCTCCCTATCTCTTCCTGTCCTGGCTTCATCCTGTACTACAAGGGACCTTGAACACACCTGTAGATGCCCACACCACCTGCATGCAGATGACCTTTGGCCAGCCCTTGGACTTAGGTGCAGGCACGCTCGTGGTGCTGTCTGTTCTGTAGAGGGTGAACCTGAGGAGGCCCAATCAGGCCCTGAAAATGGCATCAGGGCCATTTGAGCCGGGAATTCTAGAGAACTAGGTACTTGGAATCTGGTCTAGAAAAGAGACTCAGGGTCCAGCCAACTACTTGCTCCAAGGAGAAGGTCACAGCTGGAGGAAGGCAGGGGTGAAAGCCCCTCTAAAGTGTGGGGCTCAGGGCAGAGACTCCAGTTGCCTCTGTCTAACGGTGGTGGGTACCACACGTGTTCCTTGTAGCAGTAGTATTCCATTACGTGAATGTATTTAGTCTATGGTTGACGGACACTTGTGCGGTTTCCTTCTGTGAACATTCCAGTACACAGTATGCTGGTGTACTTATTTACAAGTTTCTCTAAGACAGCAGTTCTCAAAGTGTGGTCCACAGAGCCCTTGGCTCTCTTTCAAGACATTGCCAAGGTTAAGACATTTTTCACAATAATACCATGACGTTTTTCTTTTTCACTCTGTGTTGACATTTGTACTAGGTAAAACTCTGACGCTCAGCCTCTGCTAGTTAGTCATTATATTCTTTACTATCTGCATTACAGCATAAAAAGAATGTCAGTCTTACTTAAGAATGTTCTTGGTGAAGCAGTGACAATTATTAATTCTATTAAATCTTGACTCTTAAGTAAATGTCATTTTAATATTCTATGTGATGAAATAGCAACTTCACATAAAGCACTTCTGTGTACTGAAGTACTGTGGCTGTCTCAAGGAAAAGAAATTGTGTGATTGTTTTGTGTTGTGA